ATCTAATAAACTTTATTTCATCTTTTTATAATCACTAGATATTAAAATATTATAATTTTTCTACAATATTTTATAGCCAATTTATACTTACGCTTTAAGGAATATATGTCATATGATCTATTAAACATATTTAAATAGAATTTATAATATTAATAATTTTAAATAGTAACTTAATAAGTAATTATTAATTAAAAAAATTCAAAATATTTCTTAGTTTTATTACTTTTTAAAATCCTTATCAATTAATTAAAATAAAAAAATTTCTTTTACAAATTTGTATATTTTTTATTTTTTATTTATATTATTATTTCAATACAAATATTTAAAAAAATTTTTTATAAATTTATTTGTAAAAAAAAAAATAAATAAAATTTATAAAAACTTATATATTATAATAAAAGATAACTAGAAATTAAAAACTATTTAATCTGAAGTATAATTATAATAATTATAAAGGTTTAATTTTTGATAATAGAATATATTAATTTATAAGTAAAGCTAATAATTTTTCACCTTTATATATAACTTAACTACATATTAAACTGTTCAAAATAATACAAATTTTATTTTAAGTTTTTATTTTTTATTTTTTTATGTAATTTAATTGAAAATTTATTATATAATAATAAAAAAATTTTTTTTAAATAAAATTATTTAATAAAAATTAATTAAAAAAATAGTATTTAAATTTTTTAAAAAAAAAATTATCTAATAAAATTATATTAAAAATTAATAAAATTATAATAAAGTAAAGTAATTTTACTATAAATCACTGATAGTAATCATTACTGATATCACATGATTTCTTATAATAAATAATTTATCACTCTATATCATATCTTGTACATTATTTTAAGAACTTAGAATTTTTTTGAATGTAAAATCATATTTGTTACATGTTATTTATCACATATTTAAATTTGATCAAAATTTATAATTCTGACTATAATTCTGACTAAAATGCTTTTTTGAAAGATTAGATAATATTACACAAATTTAAAGACAATTTCAATTTTAGTAAAATTTCAAATAAGGTTATATAAACTTTTAAAAAAAGGAAATTTGTGATACTAGTAACAATTATCATTAGTGATAAATAGAAAACTCTTAAATATATTATAAAATCAAAAATTAAATATGCAAAATCATAAAAAAATGTTGTAAAAAAATGTTAAAACTAAAAAAAAAATATATTAAGTTATAAAATAAATTATAATAAAGAAATTTCAAAAAGAAAAATAAGCAAAATTATATAATAATTTACTATAAAAAGCATAAAATTATAAAAAAAGCTAAAAATAAATTGTGATAAAATTGATCAAAAAATTAAAAAACCAATAAATAATAAAAAAAATATAAAAAAAAAATTAAGATATAAAAAATAAAGAAAATCAAAGAAAAAATAATTAGTTAAATTAAGAAAATATTAATATATCTAAACTTACTATTAGTAAAGTGTAAAACTAAAATTTCAAAAATCTAAAAAAAGGAATAAATAATAGTTAATAAAATAATAAAATTAATAAAGACAAAAAAAAAACTTATTAAAATTATTATTAAAAAAAGAATAAGTATATTACAAAATATAAGTAAATAATATAGATATAAATTCAAGAAAATGTGATTTATAATATTGTATTTGAATTATATAAAAATAATAATCCTCTATTATGATTAGACAATAAAATAAATATTTATAAATATTTATTATTATTATAGTTTAACTTTTAAATTTTTTTATAATATTAATAGTATATATCAATTTAACTTTTTTTTTATTATAAAATTATTATTTGTATTATTTAAAACTTTTGATGATTATAGTTATATATTTAAATTAATAAAATTAATAGTATTAATATTATAAAAACTGATATATAAATTATAAAAATAATAAAATTTATATTTTAATGAAACTTATTCTTACATATTATTGTGCATACATTTTATTAAAAAGTTATTTGAATTAAAAACCTAATAATACTATAAAGTATTATAAAAGTTAATATCAGATTTATTTTATAATATTAAATAAAATTTTTTTAATTAAAGATTATTTAATTAAACATATTTAACAATATTTAGATGTTTATAATTATAATATAATACAAAAATTGCCTAATTTTACAATTAAAAGTGCCTTTTTTTTATGAACATGTTAAAAAATGATAAAACAATTTATATTTGTATTAAAATTAATTAAAGAAGTATAGGATATTTTAATTAATTCAAATAATCCAAAAATTTGGAATGTAACCAGATTAATAAATGCGACTAGAATCATATTAGACTAAGATTTAAGAAAATAATCTTTTTAGATCCTAGATATAAAAAGTTATAACAAATTCTTGCCGATTAAAGATCAATTAGAGCGATAAACAAGGAGTTCCTATTGTAATAGGTATCAAATGAACGACTTTTTTTTATAACAAATATGAATGAAGATCATTAGATTCGTGAAAACTCATTCTATTGAATACCCTTATTCGTTGGTTCAATTACATGCAAACAACTTTTTTTTCAACTGCTGGTCATATAGATATAATTGGATTTCACAAAGCGTTATTTAGATTTCTTAATTAGTAAACTAAAAGTAACCGAAACGCGAGTAAATCAAAAACTTAAAGTTCGCGATCATTCTGCGCCACAATATGTTTTATGACAAGATAATTTATATGGAAATGTCACGTCAGAATAGTTAAAGTATTTATTAATAAGTCTTAAATTTTGATCACTGGATGATGAGAAAATTAATGTTAAATCGGTCGGGTAAATCGGTCAATGACCAAAATTGACACCAAAAAAATTGATTTTTTGTAGGGAATGTACCAATGAATCAATTGATAGTGATTTTATATTCTAAATATTCAAATGTATTATTTAAAAAAAGTTTTTTACAAAACTTCCGATCAGATTTTTAATTGTTACAGGAACGAAAATGTTGTAAAACGAACATGACAAGATCGGTAATATCAGCGAACTGTTTGGCAATTAAAATATTTTAGATTCAACCAACACAAACACTAATTACGTAGCAATGGATACTATAACATACCTCTCAATAGACTCGGTTATAAAAGAATTTCAAAACACCATTTGATTGATATCTTAACTTCATGTGACATTTGATACAGATTTTTTTTCATTTACAAAGTTTTTAATGTTCGTGTTTTTGGAATTTTTTTTTTTTTTTTTTTTTTTTTTTTTCTTTTTTTTTTTTATTTTTTTTTCCTAATTAAAAAAAAAAATTTTTTTTTGTTTGTTTTTATATTAATATTTTTTTCAACCGGATAAATTATTTAAGAATTTTAATAACATTAAAAAATAAAAATTTGACTAAGACTCACAATTTTCTTTTTTTTTTTTTTTAAAAAAAAAAAAAAATTGAAACCAATCCATATATTATTATGGATGAAGATAATATTATTTCAGCCGTTGATCTCAAGAACCGTAATGTTTGAATTTAAAATAAATGAATAAAAGCGAAGTGGTAAATTAAAATCAATCCCTATTCATAAATAACTAAAAATAAAAAAAAAAAATAAAATAATTATAAAAGCGATCATCACCCCTTCATACTCCCCAAAAGATTAAAAAAAAACTAACTATGCAATCTTTTTTTTTTTTAATAAGACGATTAATTAATTTTAGGCCAGTATCAAAACAAGATCCCGGCTTATCAATCACGTCTTATATTAGCAGCAAATTGTAAAAAATAAACATGTATACGACCTCCGTTGTAGTAATCGGCAAGGGGCGATCATTGATAGTATTCTCCACTGAATTTTTTCATCAATTCATTACCAGAATTTACTGAGAGATACTTGAATTTTTTTTCAACTTCATCCGTTTCATCAGACGTGATAGAAGAGTAAACATTATCCCTTAACTCCATGCTGGCAGAAGCTTGTTGGCGAGTTGAACGATGATAAAATTGTTGAGAATGTGAAGAAATTCCAAACATTCCACTAGAATTGGTGGTTTCAGTGGTAATAATATCGGCAAACGATTGACTTTCTTGAATAGATTGCAATGAATAATCACTTAACCTTTCAGAAATTATCATTGGACTGGATGATAAAAAACGTGACATGTTACTATTTATTCCTTCCTTCTTCACCAGAGAATTTGATGTATCGATGTCCATATTGATGGCAGCCTTCAGTTGCATGTGAAATTGTTTCGCTGCGGTCCTGTTATTCGGTATTTTCCTGGGTTTTTTAATTGCACGCTTCAACCTGGAACTTTTCTTCTTTTGTAGTTTTGATAACGCTTTATCAAATGGTTGATCCACATCTTCATCGATATCCATAGAAGGGTAAGGGTATGATCGGCTTCGCATCTTACGACGACCTTTGGTAAGTAATTTCTTGCTTTTACCCGGTGACCTTAAAGAAGTGGGAAGGTTTGAAGCTGCGTATACCGTCCAATACATCACTTCTTCTGTTCCTTTTTTTTTTAAAAAAAAAAAGAAAAACGAATTAATGTTTTGTAAATACAGACCATAGAAAGAAAAAAAGATTATTTGAATGATCAAGTTTGATTACCTTCTAAAGCACGTAATACCACATACTCGGAACCAACTCTTAACCCGCCTGAACTCGTAATACGATGAACGACTTCTTTGGCCATAGGTAAATGTAAATGAACGTAACCTATAGTATCGTCTCTTTGATAATCGACTGTGACCTTTAAACCATTATCCTCAAATGCTTTCTAAAGTAAGAAAGAAAGTTCTAAATTAAGAACCTTCAAAAACATTCTTGTGGATAAACAAAGACAAAAAAAAATTAAAAAAAAAAGTTTACCCTTATTCTTCCTTGAGTTGAATTCGGGTCAAGGCCTTGTAACATTATTACTCTGTTAGAAGAATCGCACGTTGATCTTTCACCATATTTTTGTGCGGCGGTGCTCGATTCTCCATTCTTTGGTGGCCAACAGTCTATTTTGTTCATATTGTTGTCTCTTAATCCGAAAATAATCGGTAAAGTGTAAAGGGAAAAAAAGAAATTTTGTGGCAAAAGTGTGTAACGGGTAGAGCGTGTGATTGCTGATTTTATAAATTTTCATGCAAATTATTTGTAATACTTTTAATAGAAAGGGTTTTTCGAGCTCTTTGACCCAAACACACTCCCCCTTGTAAAAGGAACACTTTCTATTTATGGTATAAAATCCTGGGTATGACCCGAATAATTCCCGGGAATTACGAAAATCAATTCCATTTATGGATGTTTTCCCGGGGGTGTAATTATTTAAGCACATGGCTCATGCGCAGTCAAATCACGTGATAAATCCTTTTTTTTGATCGGACCTTTTTTTTTTTTATCGAAAACCACCGACTATCAAAAATTTAGTGACTTCTATATACGTGTGTGTATTTCTTTTTTTTTTTTTTATTATTCCTTTTTTATTCCCTTTTTTTTTATTCCTTTTTTATCCCTTTTATTTTTAAAAAAAAATGCTTCATTAAAAAAAAGGTCGATGCAAAGAAAATTTAAATTTGTGATTCTAATAATAAATAATTTCCTCATTTTTTAACTTTTTCTATTTTTTATATGTCTAACGTGGCGGGAAAAATCAATCGTTGTGAAACATAAACGTACAATCATCTTTTCCCAAGTGATTACTCACAATGACTATAATGAATTATACTTGACTTATTAGGCATTACCATTTGTTCGAAATGGCATGCCAACAAACCAAAAAAAAAATAAATCTTAGCATCGTCTAAGCACTTTCCTTTACCTTACTCATCCATTCCCTCCCTTTCCTTTACAATATTTCCTATTTTCCTCTCACATTTTCATCATTCAAAATGAAGAATATCGTTGCAATCTTAGCTTTTGTTCTTTTCGCCCTTACCATTTTTGGCGCTGATGCCACAAGTAACAGTTCCTTGAACAAATGTCGAAATGATTTGAAAAAAGAACAAAGTAAACTTAAATCTTGTCAAAATCAAGTAGATGAGAAGGCAAAGGTGGTTTCTGAACTTGCATTTGACCCAACTCCAGAAGCTATTGTAAAGAATTTGCCACAAGATTATTGCTCAAAATTCAAAAAAGGAGGTTCAAGAGCCGGCCAATTAACACAAGCTAATGGAACACAAATCCTTACTGGTATTTGCTCCAACACACCACTAGGAGAAATTCCAAAAATTGAAAATATGCCATCGACCCTTATTCTTTCCCCAAAGAATGGTGAAAAAATTGAGAAGAACAAAGCATTCAAAGTTCAAGTTCAGACCACGAACATTGAACTTGGAGCTTTCAGTGATCCAGCTTCTCTATATAATGTCTTCCCACAAGCATTAAACGATAAAGGTCAAATCAAAGGACATCAACATGTTACCATCCAATCCCTCGATAATTTGGATAACAATACACCACCCGAACCTACTATATTTAGTTTCTTCAAAGGTCTTAATGATCCATCAAAGACTGGAAAGTTGGAAACTCTTGTCGAACTTGGTTTACCAAAAACAGGATTATACAGAATGTGCACCATCTGCTCATCCCACAGTCATCAAGGTGTTGTATTGGTATGTATACTTCCTCCAAAAATTCTTGAGGTTTCTTTTTTTTTTTTTGTTATTTTTCTAACACTTTTCTTTTTTTTTTAAAAAAAAATTTAATATAATTAGCGTATGTATTTTATGTCATATTTGATGATATTTGATTTTTATTTTTTTTATTTTTACTAATTATTATGCCTTTTTTTTTTTTTTTTTTTTTATCTACATTTAATTCGATACGATATTTCAAAATCATAGCGTATGTATATTGATCTTTTTATTCTTTACGTTTATTGAAAAAGTGTTTTCACTAATATTTTTATTTTACTTTTTTATCCTAAATAGTAAGGCCCAAAGAGGAGCTACTGATGATTGTATCAGGTTTGAAATCGTTTGATTAAAGCGATAATTTGTGGAGGAATGTTAATACTCTCTTTTTTTTTTGTTCACTGAACCTCTGCCTTTTGAGAATTCAATGATAAAAAAAAAAAATACCTTAAACCATCATTACCTTGCATTCATTAATTCAATAACATAGAGTTTTCTATCTTTTTTTTTTTTTTTTTTTTGTTTGTAACAAGTTGGCATAAATTCCCTCACAAAGTCGAAATTTGTACAAAGTTATAGGTTCTCATTTATTTGCGGAGTGATAAGAAAAAAATATAAATTTTTAGTGTGGAATCTATAATTGTTAATAACAACACCCTTTCACTATATAA